TCTATACATGGTTTGATTGTGCTTTTGTAATAAGTTGAGATTCGTGTAATGTTTCGGCCATTTATGTGTGCTATATATATGATTCCCATGTTAAGTTTTCGTACTCTAACTCTAAACCCATTATATGTTATATGTTTTACTTATTCGATACGTTTTCCATCGACATGAATATTCAGTACATCAGATAAAAGTATATTCTAGTTTCTAATTAGCATGAATTTTGTTTTAACTGCACTGTATTATTTTCAACTTATTTCCGACATACCATTTACCAACCTTTTCTAAAATATTTTGTAATTTTGTATTTCATCCATCGACTTTTATAGTACCACAAAAAAATATATTTTGAAATATCATATATAAATAACAACAATGAAATTGGACCTAAAGACACTACCCTGTGGTATGGCAATTCCGTTTGATTTAGGGTGACATTGCTTCCTTCCAGCCACAAGTCACAGCCTTTCACCACTATACACGAAAATCGTATCGTTGAATACTGAAATAAACCAATTGTGCTCAATACAGAATATGAACTCGTGTATAGCATTTATAAGAAGATCATTACACGGTGAAGGCATAACAGTAGTGGTAACTTCCTAAAAGTATATTGGTACATTTATAAGGTCATTTTAATTGAGATTTATGTAAAAAATTAATGTTGGACTTTTTTTGGCTATGTGGCATACCACTGAGATTGGTCTATAATTGTTAGGGCTTTACCTTTGTATTATGGGGTAGTCATTGAGAATTTCCAATAATTTGGAACAATACCATTCATTAATGATTTATTTATAATGGAAAATAGAGATTTTGCGATATAGCGTGATGCAAGTGTATATTCTATAGCCTAGTACGCCTATAGAAATTATGAACATTTTCAGATAAACATGCCAGATTCTCTTCAATACAAGTGTCGTATGATTTAGTGTGTTAATACAATTTGGGTTATTCTTCTTTAATTGTGTTTGAAATTTCTATTCCTATATTAGTAAAATAATCGCTAAAGTTTTCACAATTCAGATTTTGCTAAATATTTTTTGAATTTTTGTTCATTCTTTTCATCCTACAAACGTTTGGGATCGTGTTTCTTGTTTTCAACTGATTAAAAAATAATCTTATTTGAATTTTCAAATTTTACTCATGAATTTGTTTCTAAGTGAACGATTATTAAAAGGCGTTTGTCGGATAAGTGTTTTACATGATCATAGTCATACAATGATATCAGGTGTGATCTATTTCATTTTATTTAGCTTAAGTACATAAAACTAATATACAAGATAATTGTTGACGTTGTTCATTGGTTAATCTGATAAATTAAAAACATCAATTCAATAAATATCGAATGTGCTTTTTCCTTTGGTCAGAAGAAGTAGAAATGCTTATTATTATGGTCAGTCCAGCCAATAGCCGACTCTTTGAAGATACCCTCTTAGAACATCTAAAAATTAAAAATTTAAAAAAAATCTAAAGATTTATTGTAAATATTTTTTTTTATCGGAATGACCGCTGCTCCAAAACCAACCCATCGGTGGTACACATCTTTAGTTGACATGGTTGAAATTTGCATGCGTCAACAGGACCTCGACTGTACTCTTGAACCAGGGCCCCTCACAACTTAGTTACGCCAGTGGTTATGGTGATTTTAATTTTTTTTTTCAATAAGAAATAATCGGTGGTCTTCGTTTTTCAGGTCTTCGTTTTGTAGACATTCAAGCTAAGGCCCTTTACATTTTCTCAAAAAGACGTCTTCGTTTTGGGGTTTTCGGTTTTCGGTCTTCGTTTTATAGACACCCATACTGCCCTCAACGATTTTAAAAATGTAAAGGAGTTGACATAGACATGAGTTCAAATCAATATACTTAAACTGATGATTATTGGATAATGGAGAAACACTCAATATGAGCAATATTGTATTTTAATTAATTGTAGTGATGACATCAAAAATTAGATGAAATATGCATATAAAATCGATAGGAAAGTGGTGCGCAGAATCTCCATAATACACTTCTGCCAATACCTGATTTTCAACAAAAATTGCGCAGAAAACAACAACCTTTATTTTCCGAAGTTTGTGGGCACCCAGGTTCAATTTATACCCCCATGCAGGCCTTATTTTACAGTCGGGAATATGGGCAAGAAAAAAGTCCTTGGTATGTGCAGGCTATACCGTAAAATAATTTAATTGCTCTTTGGATACACCTAAAACCTAAGGAGATAATGTACAAGCAATACTATTCAGAATTTTTCATTATGTTACTATGTTATTATGTTTGTATAAATATATTTTAATACAAAATACATTTTATAATTCTTTTTCTTAAAATAGGCCTAACTACATTAATGATAAGCATTTAAATTTCATTATTTGACCTAATGTTGAAATTTAAGAAGTGATAATAATAACGGTAATATAAAATAATGTTTTTATTGGCTATAGACAATTATTATTCTAGAATTACAATTTACATTTAATGTATGTAATCAAAATTGAAAAAATTTAAAAATTAATGATGCATTCCTTTTAATTCTGTATTGTTTAAATGAAAGTATGTATTTTATTTCAGTAAAAAATTTGTAAAGTCCAACCATTTCAAAATGCACTTCTGGAGATCTCAGTAACTAGTGGACCAGTGGATATAATGTTGCTTTCTCGTTTTGTGCTCGTTAATTTTGCTGAATGGTGAGTCAAAAAAATTATTTCATTTGTGTCATTAAATATGACAAAACAATGAACAAAACTATATAAGTGATTTTAGTATTATATTCCAAATGACCATTATAATTTTGTAAGAGAAAAATACTGATAAAATAATAAGATAGAAATAAAGATTAAATAAATATGCCTTATATTATAAAAAACATTGTTAATTGAATCCCGTCACAAGACACACTCACTTCAGATTTCTGTACACTGGCTAAGTCTCATTATAAGGCTTAGTGAGTGGAGTTATTTTAGTCATGTGACCAAATCCTGTTACTGTGACAGAAATTAATTCCAGGACTCTGATTGGAAGGCAAGCATCTTAACTCCACTCCTATACTCAATAGGGTCTAAACTTACCGTCTCGGATAGGGTTAATAGTTAATTGTACAGTGATAAGGTCAGTTAAAGCATATGTTTTAAATATCAGTTTATGTGGTATTAATTATATACTGTAATTTAACAATTCATTAATATAATTATATTTTTATATATAATCTCTAAAATGTTACCAGTTTTATTAGGTGTTAGATGTCATATATATTTATTTGATAACCTATTTAAATTTTACAATTTTATTTTATTTTATTGTAGTATATATTGTATTGTACATGTTTAAAATAATACCTTTTTGCAATGGACCTAATAATTGTTGTATTCCTTTTCTTTGATGTTTGTAACAGCTTCATAAATGATGTATTATTTTTTATTATTCCCTCTGCAGCAGACTTATGCTGTATTACTGTTCATGTATTTATGTGCTTTAGGTCTAGTCTTAAATGTATTCCTTTTACTTTGATATTTCAGCGAACCAGTTGGCTCAGCTCTATGGCTATAATATGTCGGTTTTGGATTGCATAATTCTAGTATTTGATTATCATTGTATTTCATTATTTAGAATTGAAAAAATAAATATTCATTGTATTTCATTATTATTGTATAATAAATATTAGAAATTCTCTTCATTGTATTCAAAGTTGTTTGTCTTGTGTATTGGGGCAGGCAGTATACTAAAAAAAAAACGCCCTCCAATAGAAAAAGGCCCAAAATATGACTAAGTTTTTTGGCAACATTAGTCTGGAGTTCTGGTAAAAATAGTGAAGAAAAGCGCCCTCAAATAGCATTTTCCCTCTAAGTTCTTTAAGGTCTCTTAATAATTGTCAGTGGTAGAGCAATGCACCCTCTAAAATCCAAACGATTGTTGGGCACCGAAAAACTGGCTATTAGAGGGCGTATTTTACCATCCTTGTAATAGAAATTGACAATTAAAGAGACCCTGAATAACGTAGAAATGAAATGGCTATTAGAGGGCGCTTTGCAGCACCACAGGGAACCCCTTTTAAATAGAAATTTAGAGACCCTGGGAATTTTCTATTAGAGGGCACTCTTCAGCACCACTTTAATACAATATTGAGGGAAAATGGAAAACTTAGGCCTTTTTCTTTTAGAGAGCGCTTCTTTGTCTTACCTTCTTATCCAGACACAACCAGCAAAGAAACACATCAACACATTACTTATATTTTTTATTATAAAAACTTTACAACTAAAATCATAATATAAATATGAATTTATATAAATGTACATAATATATAAAAATACAATCGCTGTATGTATATCGCCGTCTCAATATTCAGCAAGATGTGGAACTAAAGGCCAGTATATCTTCTTACTTGTCTTACAAACTATTAGACATAATCAAATTAACCAAAAGTTAATGCTTTACACAACTATAATAGAAAAATGAATTAGGTCTATAGAAGTTCTGGTTTCTCATCTAACTTGAACGTATCTTCTATACAATATGATCGATAATTCAGAATGATACAAGTTGTCTTCATCTATTAACTTGTTTTTTAAGATAAAATAGTTGTTTGTATTCTTTCGCCGGGATGACTCTTGCGAACTCTTAATGTTCCAACTAAATTTTAGTGTACTTTTCTTGTCTTGCAACTTTTGTCATGCTCTGCTGCACTGCATCTGTAAAAAATAAGAATTATAAACAGCAGATAGAGAAACAATTTTTAAAAGTTGAAGGAATGAAGAAACAAAATAAGACTAATAAATTAGAATTTTATAAATAACTTTTTCTATATTTCCCTGATACTTACAGTGAAATTTATTCTCTCATACATATATACATATACGTTGCAGTAGAGATTTCTCGTCCTCTGCAAACAAACAAATTACAGATTACTGTATGCATTATACATGGTTTTAAATCTAAAGAATGAAATGAAACTAGGATGGTATATAAGGAAAAAATACTAAACTAAAAGATGAAAATAAGAAATCAAATTCAATAGCGAATAATGAATTGAAGAGACCAAACGAAAACAAGCTAAGATGAGGAGCGAACACGAGGATACTACAAGAAGTGCAAGGAAATGGAAGGGGAAGCAGGAAGTGAAAAAGGATAAACCAAATGTGTTCAAATATAGACCAAATATACAAATATGAGCAAGAGAAGGAAAATAACAAAATATAAACAGGAAAGAGAAAAACACGTTATATCGTCATTGCGGACTTATAAAATCCGCATACGTTTAGAGTCCGTACTGAGCCCAAAAAATCCGCAATGAAAATATAACGTGTTGAAAACAAAAAAAAAAAAAGAATGAGAAACATCAGATAAAACGAGACAAACACGTTAAAGTTTATGTAATTTCTGATAGATAATATAGCTAGGCTAAAGGGTGTATCTATTTTATACCTCCTTGGTTCATATCCCTTTGACCTATAGTTTGTTTGTTAGATTAACAAACCCATGAAAATCAACTTGATTTTTGTTCTTTCCCTACACGCAGAATTCATGCCTGGTAATAATTAAGTGTATTATGCATTATTATAGAGTATAATCTATTTTCATACCAAAATAATTTTATTCTAATCAAAGAAAACCTAGAAATGAAAATAAAATCAAGAGGCAAATATGAAAAGCAAAAAGACATGACGAACAACAGATTAATAAAAAAAAAAATCAGGACCAAAAATATACAGAGGTAAGAAAATAAGATTGGAAAAATATAGTACAAGTGCGATTGGTGAATAATTTTTTTCTCCAAAGGTGACGAATTGTAGACTACCGGTATTTTCTTTGCACATTAAGACCTATTAAATTCAGATACAAGGAATCATACATTTCATAAATTACTATCTTGATGTCTTATATTAACGCTTTAATTGTATCTTGTTTGATGACTTTGTACCATTTTAAGTACTTTTACAAAACATGTTAATGTATGATTTATAGATATTATTGATAGACATTTATTTATTATTTTATTTATTTTGAATAAAACTATTGGCCTGTAGGTCCAGTTAAAAATAACTTGTTAAAGAAAATCACTAAAGCCATAAACATATAAAGTTAACTAATGAAGGGGCATGCCATCCCAGAATTTATTCTCAAATTATACGCTTTGTAATGATGTTCATTTACTAGAATCAACTTACTAATGCAAAAGTTGAGTAAAAAAGTATCGGTTAATGTGCGATCAATGGGGTAATGGTGTTGCTGATGTGTTCCGTTGACAATTGTTTTTATTCTTGATATTGCATTTAAATTCACAATTGCGATATACATCGTGACCTGTATTTGTTTTTTACCTTGTTCTTCAATTTTATTTTCACCGACGAAGCCATTTATGGTGGATTTTTAGTCTCGACCCTAGTAAGCCCAATGACATAGCGGTTTGAGTGTTAAGCAAGTTTTAAATCACCCGCCAGTACTGTCGTAACGTCACTCCGTTAAACAACACCTGAAGCCTAACTTAACGGCGACCTCTTCTTTGCTGTAAAGGAAATTGATAAATCGGTTTCAAAATGATCAACAATGCTGTACTCCAATTTCTTTTCTTAATTACAATCTTTACTGTACGGATTAAAATTGACCTGTGCCTTAATGATTTTAACCCATTTTATATGGATTTTAATCAAATTAGTGCAAAGCAGATAAATCTTTCTAAAGTGGTCAATTGTAAGTTGGACAGTGTTTCTGTTACACAATTATTTAAATCCACGACTATCGAGAGTAAAGCCGATAGTTTATTCTACTTCTTTGACTCTTAATTGCCGGCGATGTCCGTAGATGCCCAGGCCCTACAAAATCAGAAACACCTAAATGTCCATGCATAGTTTGTTCTGAAGGTGTCATTAAAACTAGTGCTATGTCGTATGATAAATGGACATACATAAAATTTATCAATACAGGCGAGGAATTTGCCAACAACTGTTAACAATTTTTTATTTTCACATCTGCCATTTAGCAATGTTGACGTTATTGATTCTGATTATACTGATACTGATAATCAATCCATACCTAAACTTGTCAGTCACTCATCCCCTTAGTGATCCCGATAATTCAGCAGATACCTTTAGACGAAAGGGCTGCACTGCTTGCACCTCAACACCATAGTGTCCTCTCCCACGAAATATAGGAAATTCGTGCTATTGCAACGAAAACTAAATCTTCCGTAATTGCAATCAGCGAATCATGGATCGATAAAATCTGTTAGCAACAAAGAAATTGGCATAGAAAATTATTTAATAGAAAGAAAAGACAGACAGAATTACGGAAGCTACTGGAGGTCGAGTTTGCCTATATATACGCCATGATCTTACCTACATCAGGAGAGGTGATCTTCATAGTGATGATATATTACTACCCAAAACAAAGCCTATATTAATTGTTTCAGACCAGATCAGCCACGATTGTTCTTCAACTCAATCGAGACCATCTATGGGAGTAGTTTACACGATCAAGAAGTTATTACTCTTGGAGACTTTAATGTTGATATCTCTAGTAATTCAGTTAAAAACAAATTGGTTTTAAAATTCCGTAAATTATTTAATATTACTCAACTCATTAAATTACTTGAACTTACATCTACAATAATTGATTTTATTTTTTACATCTGACCCTAATAATATTACCCAATCTAGTGTTATTCCATATGGTGTCAGTGATCACTTACTACAATATATTGTAGTAGAAAGATCAATGTCAAATTAAAAGACAATACAATAAGGGTTCGTTCAATGAAAAATTATACCTCCTATATATTTATCTCTAATAACTTTTATATATTGGTCTTATATTTTAAAATGCACTAGTATATACTCAGCATGGGACTGGTTTAAATTAAGGTATAATCAACAGGTATTTACTGAATCAAAACAGCAAAGAAAAGTTATTTTTCTGATAAATTTAATTAAAATAAAATATGCCGAAAAAGCTATATGATGCTTTAAAAAATGCAGGTATCTATAGGAAAAATAAACAATCGGGTAATATTACTTTGCATTGTGACGATCCAACAATTATTTACAAAGGTTCTGTTGCTGGATATTTAAATTCGTTTTTCGTTAATACTCCTGGTAACCTGGTAAACTAATTCCCTCCTTCGTCTGGTACTTTCAATAAAACTCATGTTCATAACTACATGCAGATAAACGAGGTGACTTTTTTTAAGAGGTCAATGACCAATATATTATCAATATTTCAAAATTTAAATTTTAACAAGGATGTTGGTTTAGACTCTATAGACCTACCTGCAAAATTTATCGAAGATGGAGCGATAGCTATTGCCCTACCACTGACCCATATTATAAATATATCTATTACCACCGGCTGTATTCATTTTGATTGGAGATCTGCAAAGGTCATACCTATACAAAAACAAAACTGATTAGGCCTACATGCAGAAAATTATAAACAAATTGTATCAGCAGTTTCTTAAATTATTGACCGTGTCATATATATTAACCAAATAATGAGCTACTTAATCAACAAGTCTCTTCTTTATATATTCCAATGTCTCAGGTTTCAGACGCGTGTTTAATACATTTATCGGATTCTGTTAGGAATGGAATGGGATAACGGATATGACTGGAATGGTTGTTATCGATCTTCAGAAAACATTCGAAACGGTGGACCATGAGATACTATTATATAAAGTTAAATGCCATTGGTTTTACAAGTTTATTTTTATCCCGGATGCAGTTTTACCACCACGGTTGATATAAAAGTAAATCCCATATGATGAAATAAAATGCGGAGTACCCCTCTGGGATCTATTTTAGGTCCCCTTTCATTTCTCATATATGTCAACGACATGGAATCAGCCGTCGGATGCTAGTTGTTGCTATATAGGTACTGATGATGCCGCTCTCTTTTAGTTTCAAATAGAGATGTTAATTATATATTGGGACTAAATTAATTAAAGAATTGTCTTTATCAATGGTTAATGGATAGTAAATTATCCCTATCAAGTAACTTGCTCTTGATTTTGATCAAAATCTTTCAGATTCTGCTACTGGATGTACGGAGCCCCTAAAAGGACATGGTTAAAGAAAATATTAAATTATTTCGAGGGAACGAAATAATATTTCGTTCCCTCAAAATGATTTCGTTCCCTCGAAATAGTTTAATATTTTCTTTAACCATGTCCCTTTAGGGACTCCGCAGGAATGAAAGTAATTAGCAAAATAAATTATAAACTTAAATTTCTGTATAAAACTAATATTTTCTTACCCCTTATGCACTTAGCTAATTGCCTCTTCTCTTTCTATATGGTAGTCCTGTGTTAACATATCTATTAAGAACAGACTTGAAACGTTACAAAATTAGATGCATCTTGAACCTCGGACCACGACGTGTTCATGTTGGTACAAATGAATTTACCAAACTGAACTGGTTACTAATTTATCTAAAGAGTCCAAGAAAGCAGGGGTGGCGCCAGGATTTGCCCGACGAGGGGGCTGATGCTCCGACGAAGGGCCTGGTTTCCCCGACGAAAGCAAAATTGGCGTGGTCGAGCTTCGATTAAAAGGTTTCGAAAGTGGTCCTGGATACCCCGAAAATTTGACAATTTAGGCAACAGGAGCACCTACCAAATTACAGGCATTTAAATATGGAATTCACTTCCTTTCTCAGAGTTCAAAGAGCACCCTCAATTCAATTATTTAAAAAGAAATATAAAGTCATGTTTAATTAGTATGTGTTACTACTAGTAAGTGTTGCTGCTTGTAATCAGCACAGGGGCATTCAACCACACTAGGTACCCATTTACACTCCTGGGTGGAGAGAAGCAATGCAGATAAAATGCCTTGCTCAAGGACACAAGCGAAATGCACAGCAAGGAGGCCAAACTTATGGAATCATGATTTCAAAAGATTGCAATGCGTGAGAATGAATGTTACTCCTACTCAAATATCTGAAAATACCAATAATTAAATTTCAATTTTTTCCAACAACTTAAACTTTCGCTCTGCCCCATTTAAAAACAAGGAAAATCAACAAGAGGGCGGATATCTCGGGACATCAAAGCTTGTCTCACATTTGCCATAACAATATCGCTTCGTGTGGTGTTTCTATAGAAGGCGATGCTTTTATACTTTAGTAAAGGCTATAGATATTAATTATTCTTAACCGGTCGATGAGGTGGTGCATCGCGTTTATGAGACTAAAGGCCTGTTTATACTTCAACGATAACGATAAAAAGCTAAAAAGCAATAGTTCATACAGAAAATAAAGGAAATAAGAGAAGTTTTTACACTAGAACGATTCGATAACGATTTATCAGTCATGCGATAACAACATATGTTGACAAATCAAATCAGATGACGTCATAATCATGGAAAAACATTAAAATCGTCGTAGTAGCAACGATTTTATCGTTTTTCCATGATTATGACGTCATCTGATTTGACTTGTTAAAATAATTTATTATTGCATACACGATAAATCGTTATAGAATCGTCCTAGTGTAAAAACTTCTCTTATTTCCTTTGTTTTGTTTTTTATATGAACAATCGCTTTTTAACATTTTTATCGTTAGCGTTGAAGTGTAAACAAAAATGTATGAAATGAAGGAAGTGAATTTTCTGGCAACTGGAGGTGTCATATATTATAATTGCCATATCTATGAGGAATGTGTTCCCCACAGAATAAAATAATCGAAGGCCCCCCCCACCCCCAATTGCAAAAAAAAATCACACTCAAATACATAAAATCTACCCGAAATCACATTATTTGGCGAGCTGTTTCCCCATCACCAAGCACCCAATCTACATTCGCGGGCCGCTCCCCTTCAAATTATCCCCTAATGTCAAACGATATTGAGTTTTAACGAAATTATTGGTGCACCCAAATCCGGACCGCTTCCGACGCCTTGATGAAGCATCCACTTTTTGCGGGCCGCGACCCTTCTAATTACTCCCTCATTTTAAAACTCTTGGATACACCACAGGTCTGGCCCTCATATATTAGTTAATAATGTTCTATCTAATGTGGCCTACGAAAGAAATTATTGAACAGCAGTGCTCTATAATCACAACCGTTCTTGTTTATTTGCACAGCTCAGTCCGAGTTATTTAGACCCCACAGTGCCACTATGCACACACACTACAAAGAAACTAACTCATATTGTTTGGCGTAACCAAGGGCGTCGATCGGTGATTCAAAGGGGGGAGGGGTGAAGAATTGCAAAATAAAGAAGTCTTGGGCCTCTGAAGCTGTCTGGTCATAGCCTTTTCTAAGTAGTATCTAATTGAGTTTAAGGAATGCAATTAACATTTATTTCCACACTACATTTTCAAAATACAGTGACGAATCCAGGAATTTGAAATAGAGGGTGACCAGGGAGGGGCTACCACCTCAATCCCACAATGGTTGGAGCTGAGGTACGAAAAGGTATTATGGCACCTCTAGTTGGCCACATTTGAATTTCTCCACTTTTAAATGTTGAAAGAATTAGAGAGGGGTGGGCCGACTGGGCTCCCTTAAGCCATTGAAATATTCATCATAAAGAGTTTTTTTTTTTCAATTTATCATGGCAATCAATATCATACCCGCTTATATATTGTGTGCAAACTAACGTTCATTAGAATAATGACATTATCTACGGATTAGCCTGTGAAGTATTCGAACCATGAAAAACAAATAATATAAACTTAAAACAGTCACTATAATTTAGTCTCTTTGTATGTACAGTACTTTTAAAATCTATCAAGAGGTTTCTACTTTTCTCCTCTTTTTGAATTTTACTCTGGTGGTGCATATCTGTATCGGTTGCTGATATTTAATGCAAGTCTTCAGTACTATCACGTAGGAGTGAATATCATCATGCCTGTGCACTCTAGCTTTGGTAAAATATTTCAGATTATGTAGACTGTGACGCACCATGTCGTGCGACATGAGTAGAACCACAATAACAACCGTATTGTAAATACCGGTACTGTACTGCTACTTTATTAATGGTACTTTTGTATTTAATCAATAACAATAATCAAGTGAACTTCAATTGATTACAGTATATTTACCCCAGTGGTACATACCTGTCTGCATTAGTTGCTGGTTGCTGGTGTTTTTCAGTTACGTATCTGGCTGACGGATTGTCCAGAGTACAAACACTCGGCCGTTATACTATGAAGTTGTAGCCGGGAAAGCTAATCTATAATAATCACAACCAAAATGGTTTTATAATCAATATAATACAAAATCATAATAATATTGTCATTCATGCAAGACCGATAACGAACCTTTAAATAGTAACCCCAGCATGTCATCAAATTTGTAGATTGTACACCTTTAGTATTTACATGCCTGATTAACATTTTATACATTTATATCCGAGGTTTTTGTCTATAAATTTATGGAATAGTTTAACCACACATATCAAGATTGGTGTGCTTTTAGAAAAAAAAAGTATTTGTACCAGCAACTGAAACTTGTTTTTGATTGAGATGCATGGTTTTGTGCCTTTTTTACGTTTTATTGTGTCTGCGTATATTTATGAATATTTTTTATTTATTCATTTATTTATTTATTTTATTTTTTTCTGGACCCCTTTGAAAACAAACCTTCGGGTTTAAAGGGTTTCCCAATGCTCCCTTTGACATGATTTCTTTTTCTGATGCGCATAATTGTGTATTTCTTTTTTTTTTGTTCAGGTTCTGCACAGTGGTGGCGGCAGCGGGGGGAATTAAGCCCCCATCGGTCTGGTCAAGACCCCCTCCCACACCATCGGGCAAAACTTGTCAGGCAATCGGACCGAAAAAAAGGCCTAGTTTTTTCTATCCTAGCCATGTTCGGCCATCTAGAAGTCCCAATTTAAAAAACAAATCATATCCACCCCGGCTCTGCTGGCCTTCGGCTACATAAATACTTAGCGTCCCCACCCAGTCGGACATCTTAGCCCCCCGCCCCCAATAAATTATATCCTAGAGCCACCACTGGTTCTGTGGATGTTTTCCTCTGTTATTTTTGAATGGTTTTGGTTTGTAAATTTTTGTGAGCATGAAATAAAAACAAACAAACATATGTTTATAGTTTATCTGCACTGTTGCCTTTTGAGTACAGTATAAGATTGAAGTACATATGTAGGCCTATATGTATCAACTCGGTTAAATTTATTTTAAAATAAAAAATACGAAAGTACATAAAAATACATATTGAAAATTAACAGTACAAACACGTATCCAGAATTAAGCATAAAACATGGTAAATTGAATGGCTTTTATTAATTTAAAATTGTTTTGATATGTATTGATTTTTGTAATGCTACTTTTGTATTTAAAATAATTAATCAGGTACCGGTATAATTAATTATGATTACACTCACTTTGGTGGTACATTGGTGTGTACCTGTCTACGTTGCTTACGTGCCAGTCTGACTGACGGCTTGCCAGGGTATAAACACTCGGCCGTCATACAAAGAATGTAAAGGCAGCTGTAATTAAAATGATCTATAATCAATATACTGAAAAATTATATTAATATTATCATTCAAGCATGACCGACGGCGAACTTTGAAATAGTACCCCAGTATGTCATCAACTATGTAGATAGTAGGCCTACACTCAGTGGTGATGGGGTTGATTGGAGGGCTCGATTATCAGTTAAGGGATGATAACTCGCAAAAAGAGGGAAAAGGCCTCTCCAACGTGGACTGTAGACCCTTACCCCACCAATTTTGTGAATTTATACTATAAATCAATATATAAAGCCACTGCATGGGCGGCGGAACCGGGGGGGCCGGGCCCCCCCCCCCCCCCCCCCTTTGGGCCAAAAAAAAAAATGCCG